TCGGGTAATGCAACAGTAATCGCAGACTTCAAGGGAAGTTCTGGAAGTGAAGCACCTTCATCAGCTAAAAATGAAGTCTCCAGAGCCAAGTGATAAGCAGCAAAAACTCCATATTGGACAACATGTTTCACCTTCTTCAACTCATCCCCATTGGCACCGTGGAGCATTATCTGAAACAAATCCAATCCTTCTTAACACATGACTTTTTGGGTTTAAACAAAATACATAGTAAAGGGAATTATTAAAGTAGTTAATACAAAAAATGTTATAACAGTCATGCAAATGCCCCCAATCCACCAGTCCAAGCTAAGAACAACTCCGAATGAAGATATCCTTGATCAGCGGCCTCATTAACCTGATTACAATTCCATTGTCTTTGCTATTTCTTTTGTTCTCCCACCATGTTAATAAGTGAAAATACAAATAACAATAAGTCCTAGCCTAAAAATTTGACAAGACACCAAAATGTGCCAGTTAATGCCCAACAAAGTCTGTGTTGATGTGTATATATTCAGGACTTACGGTAACACCCAAGGGCTTCGGGCAACCTTCGAAGAACATCAGAGTCTTTGTCAATTTCTTCCCACCTTGCCCAGCACTGCCATGCACTTCATGAAACTTCTTCACATTGAACATGTCACAAAACCCTAGTTTTGGTGATGTGAGATGATCTATTGAAGGGACTATCTGTGCCCCAGTGCAGCGGGCTATTCGCTCTAAAAGTGGCCTCTTAATATTCAGAACAAGTGAGATGTCTTTCGCAAGAAGGTAATCTTGAGCATACCGAGATACAGACTTCTCCACCAAAAGGACATTAGGGTGATGCGAGTCTATCTTTGCAACTGCCATTTTCAGATGATCCATTTCCTAAAAAAGGGATAGTCCATCAGAAGAAGAAACATCCAAGATTACTAAATCAATACAAAAGATAACTGCGTGATAGAACACATATGCAGGGTTTAATCGCTTATCAAAATCCTACAAATTCACAGCTCTAACTTTTAACACAAATAAACGGAAAAGGTAAAAAGAACCTGCTGCAACAACGTATCAAAACTTGACAAGAGGTTTGAAACACGCTGATATTCCAAAGCTCCTCCAAGGATTAAAAAGCGTGGTTTTTCTTTTTGTGATGTCATTCGCCGATGAGCCACATTTTTCTTACAAACAACTCCTTTTACCACCATACTGAACAAAATGAAATGAAAAACTGTCAAACAACTAATGGCTTGCATAATTTTTGCATTAACAGAACATAGATATAATATAAAAGTTTAGGAACCATTCTAAATTTGGTTTGCTGAAATAATACTGCACAGGAATATGCCTCACACTGCACTGAATGGTGAAAGAATTAACTTTAGATAAAAAATTTACCTATCAATTCGACGCCCGCAAGCTATACATTTAACCTTCACGTATCCCCCAGGGTCCATTCCTCCACCCTTGCTCGTATCTGGCTTGAGAAGCATGGCAGCTTCCCAAGACAACGAAGTAATTATGTCCAACCAGCTCTCATTGTTGCCTTCATCACCCCGTGGTAGGTTTTCAACCTGCAAAAGCTGAGATACCAAAGCCCTAAAATGACCTTCCACCACATTCTTCATTGCCTTCCTGTGCTCCTCAATTGATTTCTCCCTCGTACGACACTCCCCATTACCAAAGCCATTTGAAGAACCCAGATATCCCCACTCCCCTGCACCACCACCATCATAATCGTCGTCATCAAATAAGACAGCTTCTCTCTCATCTTCTTCATCCTCAGGCTCCGGAGGGAGCCAAAGTAGCCCATTGTTCTCGAAATCCACAGGTTCGGTATTCGTGCTTTGCAGGTCATATGGAGAAGTTCCAAATTCATCATCGTTATCGTGTTCATATTGATCTTCCTCAATTTTCTGAATTCCCACTACATCCTGTGTATCAAAACTCCCAGGTAAGAAGGAACTCGTGTTATCTCCATCAAGATGCACATTCTGGGGTCCATAGACGCTAGCAAATTCCTCGATAGTGACTGCACCATAATAGTCATTGCCATGAGAGAAATGACTTGGTTCTGAATCTAAACGATAAACTCCATAGTCATCATCCTCGTCATCACTCCTGGTATCAGATGATAAGTAAAAACAAGCAATGGATTACCTTATAAAGAGCCAAATATAAGGATATGAGATATGAGATCTTGAATGAATAATCATGGTTAGAAACATAAACGCAAAATTCATTTATATGACCCGACATGTATCGCAGACTCACACGCAACATTAACATTGAATGAAGAAAGAATGACCTGCAAAAAATATTTCATGAAAACATAAACTCTTTATTCACTTTCCAATCCACGATTTGTATTCTTTATTCACGCGTACACAAATACCTTACAATGACACTTGAAAACTTATGTGAAACTAAAGAAGATAATGCTCTATCAATTTGTGAAGTACACCAAAAAAGTATTCAGTGAGAGCAAGAGATACCTGTTCATACAAAAGCCATATAGATTTGGAGACGGCTCGGCCATGGCTACATCAGAACTAATGCTCGTCTGCGATGTCACATTGTCTGGCTGTACCGGAACTGAATAAATTTCGGAAGATGATTGACTAGGGCTCTGACCAGAACTATATGGCACACGCTGGTAAGGTCCAGTCGAATAAGGGGTAGAACCAACAGTGCTGCTGCTGCTGTGGCAGGTGCAGCTGGACTTGGTGCTTGCCAAACTTGTCACGGATGGTGATGGACTGAGACCAGGGCTGGCTGCGGGGGTGGCAGCATTATCGGGTGCGGCTACCGCTTGCTCCCATTGCTCGAAGCAATAATTACAGACCCTAATCCGCTCCCAATCTTCCCTTCCAACCCTTGGCTCATCAGATGCCGCAGGAATAGAGTTTGCAGTACACTTGGCACAGAAAACTCGGCCACAAAGTCGACAATGATGCCTTCGGTTAAATATTGTGAACTGAGAATCACAGTCATAACATACCCTACAGCTCTGATCAGGCATCCAAAAGTCCCTGGACACATTGGGCGGCTCGGACCTCCTGGGGATCCAAGACTTGAATACGTCAACTAACTCGGATAGTTTGTTGTCGGGGCTGCCCATCGACAACTACCCCACCGGAGCCCTCTCATGATGACACTGTCATAACTGTATGCTCTCCCTAAACAGAATTGCAACTAAATCACCTGCTAACAAATAGAATCCAAATAAGCAAAAAAATTGAAAAAACGCCAAAACCCATCAAAGCTCTACGAATTTGGAACTCAAGAGCTCATCGAAACTGAAATGCACGCATACAAAATGCCGTCCGAACTCATAATTCAATCACAATCACAAAATTGAATTCAAAAACACAAAATTCAAGCTGAGAGTTCAAGAAAGCATCAATCTTTCCAGCTAGCAACAGGGTTGCATGCAAAAAAACACAACTTTAAGCTTCATTTCTCATGGTATACAAGAAAAGCAGCAAAATTTTACCAAAATTAAAAGTTGGAAGCAGCAAATTCAAAACCCCATTTGGCCAAAGTCCCCAAATTTAAGTGCTTTCGCAAATTTAAGAGCTTTTGCCAATTGGGTTTCTGAGAGATCACCAGAAACTCCCAGAACCTGAATCCTCCACAAGCAAAAGTGCTTTTCTTTCTTCTTCAATTGCAATACGTCTCTGTGCAAAATTGCCCCAAAAACCAAAACCCTATTACAATCAAACCAGAAGGCACAGAATCTCCGACAGACCCCACCAGAAACAGTAAGGCCGTCTTATATGCAGAATATTTGCAATTTTATATGGGTTCTATTTTCGGAATAAAATTGTTCATACAACAGCAAACCTGTTGTATTGTATTATCTGTAACAATTATGTTATATTTTATAAAAAAATAAATATTATAGAAGCCAAGCCACACAAAAAAGGTTATTAAAAAGCAGGAAAGACACGGAAAGGTCGAAACGTCAACCGCCACCTGTAACTGTAATTCCCGCATTGTTGCCTCCGACTGCACGTTACTTACTCTACAAAGACCACCGATTTATTAAATGATTTCTTAGTGTATTTACATCACCGCCCCCACGCGGTCGTACGCCCGATTTTATTTTTGTTATATGAATTTAAATTTTCACACATAGTTTAAAATTTAAATTCATCAATCGATGACAAACAGAATGATGGGTTATTGAAGAAAGGTGAGCGATTTATTGAAGACTGGTGAGCAAAGTTATTTCCTTTTTCACGACAATTTCAACTTACGTTCCACTTTAATTTTTATTTCTCAATTTTATTTTAACTACAAACATATCTAAACTTAACATCATATAAACTTTGACAATTTGTAAATAAAACTTTTTTATTTATGAAATAATATTATTTTTTTTATTTTTAGTTTTATTCTCCATGCTGAGTGTTGAGTGCTCACCTTTTTCTTTTGTAGTAAATAATTATCATGAGACATGATAATTCATAGAAATTATCTAGTAGTAGTAGGAGTGCATGTGAAGATAAAAGGATAATGTCGAATTAAATCTAAGGGACATGAATAAAGATTTAACAAAGAGATATCAAATCTTAGAAAGTTTTCAAAATTGTGTGGATAACTTCAATTATTGAGTTTGATTTTTCAAAAAAAAAAAAAAAAAAGGAATACTAAAGGATAAGTATTTGAATCAATGACCTCGCAATGAAAAGGAAGACAAATGACATAAGAATTAGTTTGCGTGTGTGAGTTAGGTCAGTTAGTTAAATGACTTAAGAATTAGTTTACAGATGTGAGTTAGGTCAGTTGATCAAGGTAGTGTACCGTTCATTTCTTTTAGTTTTTACAATTACAATCGAATACCCCTTCATTGATTAGAATAGTTCAAAACATATATCATCTTGTGGAAAAAACTTTATTTAGCAAGGGCACGTGATTGAACTGATCCAATGTTTCCAAGTCAAGTAGTTCCATGTGATGAAAGTACTAATCTCTACCGACCATGTTCCACAAAACAAAACAAAAGCCTCAGAAATTGGTTTTTTTATATTTTATTTTTAATTTAAAAACAAAGGTCATCGAAACAGAAAAAATAAAATAAAATTCATGAAGTAGTAACTAATCCAATTTGTTATTGTGAGCAACACCGGCAAAACTGGTTTTCTTCTTCTGCCAATCATCAGAAACAGGAGTTGATGGTGATGAAGACAATTCCTTTCCTGTGGAAATGGCATCAGCAAGTGCAACTGGCATGAGGCGGAAACTTTTGCTTTTGAGATGCTGCATTGCCTTGTTCGCGTCCGATTCCATCAGCCTCACTGCTTGTTCTAAAGCAGTTTCGTCGAAGGAAATGTCAGCTTCTTGACCGATTGATGGCAACTGCGGCAAACCATTCTTAACCTGACATAGATTCACTTGTTACAAAAAATCATCGAGTTTGTTCTTATTTCTTAGCACACAAGAAAATCTGGAGCGGTTCCTTTTTTAGGGTGTATGAGGTCTTTTTCAGTTTCTTAGTAATAATGAACGACGGTATTATGCCTAATGTTTACGAGTAGTAAATAAGAGAATACTAAAGACTCAAGGCGTAGAATTTCTCGATTATGAAATTATGATACAAGGTACCTATTATAAGTAAATTGGACCAAAGCACCTTAAGCTACATAGAGAGAGGGGGCTTAGCACCTTAGTTTGACAGCCTTTACTGTCTGTGATGAGAGGGACAACTGCCCCTGCTGCCCCAATTTTGCTCATGCTTAGTTCGTGCAAATCGTTATATCGAGCACTAAATTATGATATCGGTTCTTCTTACAGTGATTCGTGCAAATTTTCCTACCAAATTTGAGTAAATCACCATCTTGTTCAATAAAAAACAAAAATGTAACATTCATATAGCAAGTGAATATTTCGGAAAACTGAATTTTTTTATGACTGAAGCACAGAATCGAAAATGTGAGTGAAAGTTCTCCATCATACCTTTACTTGGAGCTGAAGAAGTCTGACATACTCAATGATTTCATCAAGCATATATGCCTTGTCGGTCTGTAAAATCATGAATGATATCAGTACGTCTCTAAATCCAACCGGAATTGATTACACATGACGTATTTCAGCGTGAAACAGAAGAGCTTACCTTGTTAGAATTTGGCACAAGTTCTTGCAGCTTCTTCATCCTATCAGCAATTTTTTCTCTCCGAAGCTGCAAATAAAGTGATGATGAAATTTGACGTATTTCAGATCCACAACATGCCCAAGATGGTATTTCCTTCACATCGACATCTGACCACGATGAGGAACCGAAAATTTGATTAATGTACTTGTCCATCATCAACAGGAACGGCTCTTCTTCTTCTTCTTTTTCTTCTCCCTTTTGGTTTGTTGAGCCTACAAAGAACTTCTGGCCATTTGAAGCTGGCTCCACCTAAAACTTCATGAAAAGTGGAGATGAATCTGCTTAAAGACTTGGCTGCTGCAGATGAATTTAACAGTCACACATGGTTTAAAAATTAAACAACTTTGTAATAAAGTGTCGAAAGAACTTAAAACGTAACCCCAATCATAGATTCGAGCAACCAACACACAGATTTATGAAAAACTTTGCATCACACACACACACACAAGAGAAATCAGTAACCACAAGTGTGATGCCTCATTCGCACTCAACTCAATACAGAGACTACTGCATAAGAGAAGTTGCAAGGATCTCGTAGTTCAAAATGGTGAAGAGCGTTTACCTTAACCGAAGTCCTATGTTCAAATCCTCTTTTTTCGATATCACTTGTATAAAAAAGAACATAGAAAAGAAGCCAAGATAGGAGAAGCAGCAGTTTTAAGCAGTAATGTATGTGCATTACTGGCTCAAATATTTTCCATGCCCCCTGTTTTTTGCTGGTCAGGGATATTTTAGTAATTCAATTACTAGCTCAAATATGTATGTGCATTGCTTGTTGAGGTCGATTTAGTTCGGCTTCAATCAAAATCAAAATCTGGAGAAAACTTCGAGTGTTACAATATGAGTGGACGACTAAACGTATAGTATAGCATTGAAACGGACAACACTAGGACATATCGATCTTTGATCATTTTGTATGTTTTTCTGCATGATTTGCAGTGGAAAACGAGATTGAGTTTTGATGGACCAAATGGAGGGTCGCCTTGGGAGTTAACTACATTCAACTTGGTGGTGTCGCTAAATACCAAAGGGCTGATGAGTATGCAACCGGAGAAATATCCTCATCACCTTCCCTTCGCGTGACTTGATAGGGTGATGGGGAGAGGATGGGAGAGGATGGAAACACCTGAAAGTTTACAACTGCTTAGAAGTTAAGAGTGAATTGAAGAGATGTCCAAACCGAAAACTCACTGGAACTACCAAAATTGTGAAGTATAAGAGCATGGAGATATGGACGATTATAACCCCATCTCTGTCCCATGGAAAACCTTGGCCGTCCTAGAAGATGAAGATACACAAAGTGGAACTTATCTGATGATTTTCAAATATGTCTAACCAAAAATCTTTGAAGTAAATTATGTTGAAATGCATTCTAATAAGAAAGCAAATATGTAAAGTTTCAAGCCACTTGTTTATTTATCAACAAATGTCTGCAATGCAGATTTGTGTTGGTTTAAACCGTCTTCTGGCGCTCTAAAACTTTCTTCGATAGACATTGATAAATTACAACACTTGGAAGTACATTTTAGAGCAAGTCAACTCCTGTTACTCCTGCGACAATTGTGGGCATGATTGTTGCTCATAAGGTCTCCACAGTTGTAGCAGAATGCAGTTCTGCACCTGTAATCAACACCAATAAGCAGAAATTCAAAGTGCATTCAAGAATTTACTGAAAGAAACAAGTTGAAATAGTGTTGCGTAATTTGTAATTACAGGTCAAATGTTGGCAGAGCAATGGGGTGTGCCTATATCAATCTCTAAAAAGTGGAATACTTGTCCGTATATATGCGGTAAATTTAAATCTTAGTTAATAGACTGGTCATTTAAACGAAGAAAATTCAAGTTTAAATTTTGCACCTAAAAGAACTGGGAAGTTCTGATCTGAATTTAAGAAAGGATTGACGTCGCATGTCATTCTTTTGAACGTAATCAAACAGTAACGCTTCAAATGAAGCTGAGCAGAGAAACTATGCCAGTTATTCTGTCCATCTACCGTCACAGTTGTGTTCACTCTTTTCACAAATCTAATAAAATGTATCAAGTCATGGCAGCTTATATCTACATACTCCCTCATCAGAACTCCAGACTACTCATTGCGCAGGCCAATTTGAAGAGCAAAGACAAAGGATTCTACAGATGGGAAATTAGCTCAAACTGCCTTGTTATTTGAGAATATAACCTTACCGGAGGTTCCAGAATGCCAACAATTCCTCCAACTAGGGATTCGTTATTGTATTGTAAAGGTACTCAAGGGTAGATGGTTTCCAATGACAACGACAAAGGTAGATGGTTTTCAATCATGTAAATTTCGGGGTGTCAGCAATTGCTGTTTTTAGAGGTTCAATGAGAGAAATAAGCAAGAAATCAACTTTATATTGTTGGTGCTTTTATATAAAATTTTGTGCAAATGATATGCGTATATGCCGCCTGAAGTGTACTAATTGGTTTGGTTCATCCAATGCAGCTTCCCTCATCTCTGGTTCTTATCTAACTTTAAACAATAACGAGCAGAACACGATAACATAATCAGCCTCAGAAGATTTACACAACAAACAAGGAAGGCAAAGCAATCCAATTCCAAGTGATTCGATTATATCAGAAGCAAACAATGAAATTTTTGCTGCAAATGAATAACCAAGTAGTAATTCCAACAAACAATTGAAGAAACATAGCAGACAAAAACTAACCTGCACATCATGAACATGCAACCCACCGATTTTTCCACAAAGAACCTACAGTTGGGGCATCTTGGCCATTGTTTCTCCTTCGCAAGGTTCATCAACATGATATCCTCCTTATTCAACCTTACAAACTCCTCGCAATCAATCCCCTCGTGCCAAGGAACCTTACAATGAGCACAGAACATTCTCCAGCAATTAGGACACTCCGATTGCCTCACAACCTCTGATCCATCATCAATCAACATTGCAGAGCAATCCTTATAGGGGCAGTAAAATTTCTCTGACCCAAGAATCACAGCCTCACACATAGCAGTTCCCCAGCGATCAAACACCTCCCGAGGCAGAATCGGCCGGCAATACTCGGGTTCCAGCAGCCCTATGCAATCAGGAACTGGGCACCTAATGCTGGTAATGTTCTCTTGAAGCTTTGAGGCCACGTACTTAACCATACAGTCAGTACAGTAACCATGGCTGCAGTTTTCGATCCGAAACAACTCGATTCCCGACTTGTGATCGACGCATATTTCACAAACGAAATCTGGGACACTTTTTGAATTTGAAGATTGCCCAGATTCAGTCACGGAAAAATCAGAAAAGGTTTTTTTTCTTCGCTTTCCGAAGGGGGTGTTGGATGGTTTGAACCTAAGAATTCTGAGCTCGTCGTCGCCGTCGTAGAAGTCTAGGGTTTCTTCAGAGAGGTCGATAAAGTTACTTCCTTCGGTGGGCTTGGGAGCTGATTTGAGCAGAGAAGCCGTGATCGATCGGAGGTCTCCGTCGCCGTCGCCGTCGTCGTCGTCGACGTTGATGGGGATGGTTGAGGGATTCCGCGAAGTGGGTGTGAAGCTGAAAGCGTTGTCTTCCATGTCGAAATTGGGGATGTGAGAGTGAGACGACAGTGGGTTCTCCATCTTTAGCTTCTTCTCATTGGCTGTCAGCGTCACTAACAGAGACCGACGCTTTTGGATGCTCCGCCTCTCTCTCCAATTTCACTTTCCTCCCCTTCCTTACTGTACACGCTATTTCGGAAAATATTTCGAGATACGTTTGATCTTTGGACTCATTTTGCATTATAAAATATAGAACTTCGATCGATTTATATTTTAGTCAGATTGATTGTTTGATCCATCAACCATAGATTCAAATAAGGCATTATCTCACTTATTAATGACGTCATTTAAAAGGATAAGATGACAACTACGCATACTAGATGTACAGTAAAAATGGGTACAACAGAAAGAGAATGAACGTTCATTTGATCTTAATCCTTGTGGAGTGAAAAATGGACTGAACTAGATGAACCTCTGATCATATAAAATGTACATTACTATACGTAAATTTTGGCACATAGTATACATCAGTACTCCAATGCACTTCTCCATCAGAATTAGAATAAATATGTTTTTGAACCCTCTTTAAAATCTAAAGTATATGCTCCAGTACGAATCTCAGCAATCATTTATTCTGGATTATGCATCTATATTATATATATAGAATAGATAGACTTATAGATTCACACCCAATGTTGAATGAGTTTTTGAGATGAATTTCTTCATCACACGTCACACACAAATGTTGGATCAATATAAATATCAACATCATGTTCATGTTGCTTATTTTTCTTTTTTCTTTTTTGTATGTAGTACTGTGTGTTTGGTGATAGAGGAGGGGATGTGCTTAACCTTACCCCTTAATTTATGTGTTCTCCTGTGAAAATTTTGCTGCCAAACTCAACTCCTGTGCCCATATCTCTCTCTCTCTCTGTGTAGGTTAGATTCTGGTGGAACACCAACTTCATTCTACACACAATTGGAGAATTCATCATCGGTAAGGAATCAAAGTAATTTTCCTTTGGGGTGCATTTGGTGCGTACTGATCTTGCATCTAACCCGACTGAAAGGATTGGTTTGAATTTATGAAAAACTTTGCAGCAAGAAATTAGAAGAACGTCCTCTAAATAGCAGCTAAACTTAACTTACGGATTAACATATTGATCACATTATCTTGCATCTAACCCGCCTGATAGGATTGGTTTTGAAGCGCGACAACGGAACATGCACAAAAGAGAAGTTGCAAGGAACTTGTAGCCCAAATGGGAAAAGAGTTTACCTTAACCAAAGTCCTCTTGTTCAAAATCTCCCTTCGTCGATATCTCTTGTATAAAAAAGAATATAGAAAAGAAGCCACGGGAGTAGAAGCAGCAGTTAAAAGCAGTAATGGGCAACCAAAAGAAGAGAAATAATTTTAAGACTCGCAAACTACAACAGAAACGGCCGTTGTAGGCTTTTACAAATCAAGAGTATATTACCCTTTTGTGCATTGGTGTCAACCAGAGATTGGTCCATGTCACCATGATTTCAAAAAAAAATTTCTGTTGACTGTAGAACGTTACAGATATTTCAATGAGCTTTAAAAAATGCCGCGAAGTTGGCTCCAAAATCTCTCCAACCGATGCATGCATGCAGATGGAGCGCAGCAAATATAGGGCATTCTGGTAATTTTGGCGGTGACAAGTGATAATCCGGCCCAGTTAACGCGGAGGGGCTTCGGTTCCTTAGGTTGTAGTGGGAGGTTCTTCCTTCACCACCTGCTTTTTGACCAAAACAAACCTTTTCCATGCCCCACTGATTTTCGTTGGTGAGGTCGATTTAGTTGGGCTTCAATCAAATCAAAATTTGGAGAAACGTGTAGTATTGAAACAGAGAGCACTTACAAATGTCATTGATCATTTTGTATGTTTTTGGCAAGATTTGCCGTTGAAAACGAGACTGAGTTTTGATGGACCAAATGGAGGGTCGTCGTGAGAGTTGACTACATTCAGCTTGGTGTCGTCGCTAAATACCAATGGGCTAATGAACGGGAGATTCTCACATGTAACCGGAGAAATATTTACACTCATCACCTTCCCTTCGCGTGACTGGATAGAATGATGGGGAGAGGATGGGAGCCCTTGGAAACACCTGAAAGTAAACTTTACAACTGCTTGGAAATTAAAAGTGAATCGAAGATACATCCAAACCAAATATGTAAAGTTTCAAGTCAAATGTCTGCAATGCAGATCAGTGTTGGTTTAAACCATCTTCTGGCGCTCTAAAACTTTCTTCGACGTACGTTGATAAACTACCATATTTGAAGTACCATCGTAACCTAGATTATAGAGCACGTCAAATCTCCTTTCAACTGGGACAGTTACGACTTACCTTTAAAACGTCTCCACATTTGTAGCAGAAAGCAGTTCTGCACCTGCAACCAACACAAATAAACAGAAATTCAAAGTGCATTCAAGAATTTACTGAACGAAACAAGTTGAAATAGTGCTGAGTAATTTGTAATGACAGGTCAAATGTCGGCAGAGCAATGGGGTGTGCCTATATCAAGCACTAAATAGCGGAGAGCTTGTCCGTATATATGCAGTAAACTCAAATTTTAGTTAGTAGACTGGTCGTATAAACGATAAAAATTCAAGTTTAAATTTTGCTCCTAAAAGAACTGGGAAGTTTAAGGAAGGATTGACGTCCTATCTCGTCCTTGTAACGGAATCAAACATAATGCTTCAAGTGAAGCTCAGCAGAGCAACTATGCCAGGTATTCTGTCCATCTAACGTCACAGTTGCGTTCACTCTTGTGACAAATCTAGTAAAATTTATCAAGGCATGGCAGCCTTATTTCTACGTACTCCCTCATCAGAACTCCGAACTACTCATTTCGCAGGCCAATTTGAGGAGCAAAGACAAAGGATTCTAAACATAGGAACGTTAGCTCAAACTCATTTGTTATTTCAGAATATAACCTTAACGGATGTGCCAGAAAGCCAACAATTCCTCCAACTAGGGATTCATTATGGCATTAGATGGTTTCCAATGCCAACGACAAAGGTAGATGGTTCTCAGTCATGTTTTTAGATGGTTTCCAATGCCTTCTGAAGACTTACTAATTGGTTTTGTAATCCAATGCAGTTTCCCTCGTCTCTGGTTCTTACCTAACTTAAAACAATAGCGAATGGAACACGATAGCATAATCAACCTCAGGAGATTTGCACAACAAACAAGGATGGCAAAGCAATCCAATTCCAAGTGATTCGATTATATCAGAAACAAACGATGAAAGTTTTACTCCAAGTAGTATTTCCAACAAACAATTGAAGAAACATAGCAGATAAAAAACTAACCTGCACATCATGGGCATGCAACCCTCCGTTTTTTCCACATAGAACCTACACTTGGCGCATCTTCTCCATTGTTTCTTCTGCGCAAGGTTCATCAACATGATATCCTCCTTTTCCCTCTCATCCTTATTCAACTTTAGAAACTCCTCGCAATTAATCCCCTCGTGCCAAGGAACCTTACACTGAGCACATAACATTCTCCAGCAATTAGGACACTCCGATTGCCTCACAACCTCTGACCCATCATCAATCAACATTGCAAAGCAACCCTATTAGGGGCAGTAAAATTTCTCTGATCCAAGAATCACAGCCTCACACAATGCAGTTCCCCAGCGATCAAACACCTCCGGAGGCAGAATCGGCAGGCAATACTCGGGCTCCAGCAACCCTATACAATCAGGAACAGGGCACCTAATGCTGGTAACGTTCTCTTGAAGCTTGGAGGCCACGTACTTAACCATACACTCAGTACAATAACCATGGCTGCAGTTTTTGATCCGAAACGACTCGATTCCCGACTTGGATTCGACGCAGATTTCACAAACGAAGTCTGTGTCGTTTTTAGAATTTGAAGATTGCCCAGACTCGGTCACGGAAAAATCCGAAAACGTTTTTTTTTTCTTCGCTTTCCGAAGGGAGTGTTGGATGGTTTGAACCTAAGAATTCTGAGCTCGTCGTCGCCGTCGTAAAAGTCTAGGGTTTCTTTAGAAAGGTCGATAAAGTTGCCTGCTTTGGCTGGCATGGGAGCCGATTTGAGCAGAGAAGCCGTGATCGATCGGAGGTCTCCGTCGTCGTCGTTGACGTTGATGGGGTTGGTTGACGGATTCCGCGAAGTGGGTGTGAAGCAGAAGGCGTCGTTTTCCATGTCGATGATGTGGATGTGAGAGTGAGACGACGGTGGGTTCTCCATATTAACTTTGTTTCGTCTTCCCATTGGCTGTCACTGAGAGAGGCTTTTGGATACTCTGTTTGTGAGGCTTTTGGATACTCTGTTTCTCTCTCCTATTTCACTTTCCTCCTCTTCCTTACTGTGCACGCAACGAAATTATTTAAATAGTACTTTTGATATTTGGACTAACTATATTTCACCCTTTCAAAATGAGAAACGAATTTTCAATTTTCTCTTTTTGTATTATAAAATACAGAACTTGGATCAATTTATGTCTGTTGTCGGATTGATTGTTTGATCCATCATAACCACAAATTCACATAAGATCTTGTCTTATCTATCAATGACGTCGTTTGAGGAGATAGGATGACATTAGTTAAGCTCTAGCACGCCAGTGCAGCCTTATTTAAGGCACTTAACCCTGCATATTGAACTACGCACTCTCAACAGTAGAAAAGGGTGCAACCCTTGATGTTGAATGAGTTTTCGAGCTTTACTCCTGTGCCCATCTCTCTCTCTCTCTCTCTCTCTCTCTCTCTCTCTAGGTTAGATTATGGTGGAACATCAACTTCATTATATACACGAGTGGAGAGTTCATCATCGGTTACTGTAAGGAATAAGAGTAGTTTTCCTTTAAGTACTTTACTCCTGAACCCCAACGAAGGTTCTGAACATAAAACTTAATTAAAATGCGTAGCATCAGAGATGCAACTGCAAATTAACTAGCAACTACAAGGAGGGAGATTCGAACTTGAGTAATATTGATCCAAATAGATGTTACACATCAGAGTATAAACAAACAGCACAATGATCTAATTCCTAGAATCCTACCTGCAACAAACTCCATAATATTGCAGCAAGATCGCTCATGAGCAAATAATTAGGATTATTTCTTACAGCTTTGACAATAACGGGTATGTTCGACAGCTTGAATTCCACAACTGTAACAGAAAGCAAATCCGCACCTACAACAATAATAGTAACCAACTTTGATGATCAATGAAGATTAGGGCAAATATATATACACCAAAAGATAAAATATTAAAATTTATGCAAGTTGAATGAGATAACTCAAGTTATTTAATTCCAAAACTGATAGGGAATTAATCTAGAAGTAGCAGAGAAGTTCAACTGACCTGCATTTCATGTAGCTGCACCCATCTATTCTTTCAACATAGAAACTGCAACGTGGGCACCTCCTCCAGTTCTTATTCTTGGCAAGCTCTTCCAGCATCTCGTCTTCGCCCTTATCTCTCAGTTTCTGAAACATGGAGCAATTGAATTCGGTATGCCAAGGAACCTTACACTTGGCGCAAAACTCTCTTTTGCAATGAGGACATGGAGCCTGATTGGTATCCTCTGGCCCCTCGTGGATTAACAGCGCAGAGCACCCAACGAAGGGACAGTATAAGTACTTCTTCTGAGGCCCGATAACCACAGATTCACATATGGCCTTGCCCCACCTATCAAAGAGGTCGGTTGGGAGGATAGGACGACAGTAGTCAAGTTCTAATGTGCCCGTGCAGCCTTGTGCAGGGCATGTAATGGAAGATACATTGTCATCAAGCTTGGATGCTACGAATTTAACAATGCAGTCTTGACAGTAAAAGTGGGAGCAACCCTTAATGTTAAACGAGTCTTTTAGATCAACTGGCTCAACACAGAAGTCACATACAAAAGTTGAATCGATATCATCACTCTCATCTGCAAGTGTAGATTCACATAAGGCATTGCCCCACCCATCAAAGATGTCGTCTGGGAGGATTGGATGACAGTAGTCAGGGTCTAGAGCGCCAGTGCAGCCTTGTACAGGGCACATAACAGCGGATGTGACATTGTTTTGGAGATTGGACGCTATGTATTGAACAACGCACTCTCGACAGTAAAAATGGGCACAACCCTTGATGTTGAATGAGTTTTCGAGATGACTTTTCGCATCACACAAGTCACATACAAAAGTTGGATCAATATCAATATCAACAACATGTTCATGTTGCTTCGTATTTGTTTTTGTATGCAGTACTATATGTTTGGTCACGAAGGAGAAGTGCTTACCCCTTATGTATTTTCCTGTGAAAACGTTGCTCCCCAGTTTGTTTCCTGTGAAAACTTTGCCACCCAACTTCTTTCCTGTGCAAAGTTTGTTGCCCATCTCTCTCTCTCTCTCTCTCTCTCTTCAGTGGTTAAGATTAAGAATCTAACTCAGGTGGCAGTGTGAAGAAATAATAAGAGGCTAATTACAGATGGTGAGGTTTAATTGTTAAGACTGAGTGATGTGATGAAATTTCTAGGGCTGAATTCTGGATCATCAACTTCATCCATACACAAGAGGAGAGTCCATGAGCGGTAAGGAATGGGACTTCCTTCGTCAATAAGGATTATAAAAAATAAAATAAAAGAAGATTGACCTTTTGGAGAGAGAATACATCTTCCCTAAACGTTTACTTTGGGCAATTTTGAATTACCATTATGCCACTGACAAACATAGGACTAACTCTCCGGATCCTCTTATGAGGATCCGAGAATCTTTCAATCAATTCTATTCATCGTATATCGTGCAGTAAAAAAAATCTTTACGTGAAAATCCGAGAATCTTTCAATCACGTTTATTCATCGTACATCGCGTGACCAATTTTCGTCAAGTTCTGTTTATATTCCATTGTAAGTAAAAAAATTACAATAATTTCTGATTGCACGATATATGATAAACAGATTTGATTGGAAGATTCCAAAATCCTTACAAAAAAGATCCAAAAAGGATCCTCATTCTTTTTAAAGAACTCCCTCCCCCTGACAGAGATTTTAACGGTCATAAAAGCGCTTTTAGCTATTTCAGAAGCAACATAATAAGGGGTAGAGTCTTTCTGCAGTGGTACATTGTCAAATAATATGATATACACACATCTATGGTTTGCTTATATACAAGAGCAGTTCCAAGTGATTTCACAATTGGTATAAAAAAAAACTTAATTGTCAGGCATGAATCTTTCTTTTCCTTTATACAGACAACACCTATTAACTTCTAATGTACAGTTTCAAACCAAAGGTGAAATATTAAGAAACGAATTCTGAACCCCGTCAATTGTTCTGAACAGAAAGCTTAAACAAGTAGTCATCGGAGATGCAACCGGAACTAGCACTGTAGACTGGAGTAGAGGTTTTTCAGGGCCGTATACAGGGGCTCAGCAGCCTTTGGTCTGTCCACAGTTCCGAGTAGTATATCAGAAGTCGTCAAGTAAGGGTCACCATAAAACTGTAGATTGGTATCCATCCTCGTGGCCACAATGTTCCCTTCCAATGATACTCCAACAAATGCACCTGTCAAAACATCGCAACGTCACACCGTCAGGAGTAGGATCTTTTCCAAGCTCCCATACTGCCCCGAATAACAGAACCCTCAAAATGCGTTAAACAAACAGTGGGTGATACATATTAAGAATTTGAAAAGTAAAATGACAAACCAATACTCCACTACAATCTTTGCTACTTGTACCAATGAAAAGACCCTCGTGCCATGGTATACAGCGAATGATCCTAGTCATTAACTGGAAAGCTTTACCAATCTAAACTTGTTATCATACCTTTGCTACAACTGTATGTATAGCACATTCCAGAACCTCTGTCTCCAGCGCGCATGTCTGCTTCCAGCACTCTACCAATAGGTCCTGCGGCAGCACTACACCCAGCACCAAGAGAAAAATGCATGCGACTACAAAATGTTTTCACAGCTTTTAAATCGTGAAGCACAATGATGAAGTCCATAAGCTCACCCCCAATCTGGAAAAAGAAACAATGGGAATGCAAAGATTACCGCCTGGAAAAGAACTAAGGAAGTAGAAAATTCCAGCCAAGATTTAGAATTTCTCAACTTACTGAAGCGGAAGAGACTAAACATATCAATTTTAAAAAGAAACTGCTGGTGACAAATGCATATGAACTATTATTATTATTTTTGTAAATAATGTATATGAATTATTACTCCTCTGAAATTCCTTTCTTCCAACTTAAGCATGTACAAATAATCATAGACGGAAACAACAGATAAATAACATTAGAACAACGAAAATATTGCATATATACCTGTGCGCCCCATCCTAAGCCAACAGAAAATATGGATGACGGGGCAGACCATGATCCATCAGACCTTCGAGCAATTACCAAACCAGTACCAAGTTTGTAAGAGAGAAGTGCACCAGCTTTAGCAACTGTTAGGATTGCCAGACCTTTGGCTCCTTTAAGAACAGCTGCGGGTATAGACCTCTCAGGATTCAACCTAGCAACCTGTCAAACATAACATAAGATGTCAGAAATCATCTGAATTGGAATATGAGAACTCTTTAGACGAAATGAATTGAAATTCATAATTGCACCTGGGAGTAACTTAACGAAACTAATAATCCAGAAATGTAGGAACAAAATTAACTTAACAAAACTTATATGGAATTCAGAATTGCACCTGGGAGTAACTTCTCAATGTGTTGGATGCTTTGTATATCTCCTGTTCCATGGAAAACCCAACAGGAAGATTTAACCATCCTCTTGTACACGTCCAATCGATGACATCGTGCTTGGCTGCTTGTGCAGCATTGCTGATGCTGTTAATTAGAATACCCTGTAAAGGATCTAGCCTATCATAGCAGGCATCGCAGACCCTCTGCGGATTCCTCTCCCTAAACTTGACAGGCAACAAGCACCTTCCTTTACTACATGTTCTGCAGAAAATTCCCCACAGAACCGACAATGATGTCTTCCACGAGTAAGTGCAGTAAAAGGCAAAGTGCACTGCATGCAACCTGTAGTAGAACTATCAGGAAGCCACTCAGGGGGCTCAGCTTCCAAAACATCTTTGTATGCGTTGTAATTAAACGTTGTTGGCTCAAGCAGGGGTGGGGCACTGGGTATATAAACCGACGAGTGCAAGCATGTATCACCATTTTTTTCTGAGCCCAAAAATGAAACATTCGAATTGGGTAGCTGATTGCCTGATGGAAGACCCGGTGCCTTGTTCCGGCCAGTCAGAATGGCAAATACCCCAGTCAGCACATTCTTCAAATTGACTTCCGGTTGCGTATTAGTCTGAGGTAAATCACAAGGCTCTTCGCTCGAATCATACTCGCAGCCATCAACAAAATCCTCGGACTCAAGAGGAAACTGGTACGAATAATCATGCTTCTCGGGCTTGGATGCTACTGCGGGGTAACTAACTTTCCCGCAGTGTTCTGGCTCGGGCCAATCGGAACCGACATACTCGTCACCATAGTGGAATTGGGGTTGGTGTTTGTCTATCTTTGGAAGGGACGAATACGAAACTCTCCCCTCAAAGCTCTCCATACAATTCCTCAAACCACTACACAAAATTCAATTTTTCGGTTCGAATTCGAAACCAGAATATGTTACAAAATTCAAAAATAAATAAATCCCAGAAAGAGAATCAACTTTGACGTCAAAGCGAAATCAAGGTAAAAATTCAGAATTAAATTAAGGGAAACGAGCACGACAACAATATGCAGCTGGAAAATAATCAAAAATCGTAAATTAATTATCTTTTCAGCAAAAATAACACGAATTCGAATTCGGGAATTGGGGATTTTGCTTCTGGTTTGTTCTAGGGTAATTTAATTGAATTAAATTAAAGAAAAAAAAAAGATAAACCGACAGCAGACGTACCTGTTGATCAATTCGAGCTGTCAATTGAACAAAATTGAGAAACTGGTTTGATTAGGGATTTAATTTTCAGGGTTTTGCGACCAACGAAGAAGAAGCGGGAGAAGAAGAAAAGACACCCAGAGTTCTTCGGATGCACGAAAAGACTTGGCGTCCGCGTGTGATCACAAAAACAACATCCAGTCGGGTACACGTTTTTTTTTTCAAAAAAAAAAATCCTCATCTTAAAAGGAAATGGCATGCCGTTGTTTTATGGCAGTTGTTCACGCGGCGATCTCAATTGTAGTGAAGTGTATAAGTAGGGATCGTTCTGGACCGGGGATTAGGAGGGATTGTTAATCACTTGGATTTGACTTAAAAACGTAAAAACACAATATAAAACAATATTTAATGCTCAAAGAATGCAAAACTAAAAATAAGAAAGATTAAGACTAAAACTTAAACAAAATAAGGGGGGATTGGATTTGGACGAATTTACTAAAATAAATACTTAGACACAAAACAAATTGTGAATATGGATTTGACGGAAATGAATGGATGGGAAGCTAGCTAAGGGGTTCTTCTCCACATATGTTATACTTGCATACAAGATTGATTCTCAGTTGGTCTTTCGATAAATTATGATACTCAACACTCCGGATTAATTAGGTCCGCTTAAATTAACCGTCAAATTTTCCTTAAGTTAATGAATTGGATGGGTTTGCGCAACGCAATTCACAACATTCTCCAAAAGTCCTTTACGTGAATAGCACAATAAAGATACAATCAAAGATCATTAAGCATTATGAAAACTATAAGTGTTGACGAGGCATTCGTTACTATGATGAGCATGAAACTCGTGCCAAGAATATGTTTAACACGATTGTTTATAAGCAACCTCCACTACTTGTGAATATAAGTTCATAACGATTAGGTGAAATTCACTTATATTCTAGCGTCATATTTATGCATGAAAATTAAGCGCGCATTCTTAATAAACATTCATAAATAAGCTATCAATCAAACGGTTAAACAAATTGAATCCACAACTTATGAAATTCCAACGAAAGTTAATCAATTCATATTGCAAATATAAACATAGTTTCGAATCACCCCCTACCTAAAGGGGGTTTAGTTCCTCATAACCTTGAAATCAAAGAAACACCTAAACATTCCAACAACTCAAAGCTTGAATTGTATGAACGTTTAAGCACTCTTCTCTTCCATACATACAACACAAAGAGAATTAAAATGAAACTTTGAAATCAAAGAAACACCTAAACATTCCAACAACTCAAAGCTTGAATTGTATGAACGTTTAGGCACTCTTCTCTTCCTCGTTGTTGTAGCACAAGGTTTAAGGGATGTTGTTGGTGTATTGAATGGATTGGGGAATTTATGGAAATGGAAGAAATGGAGGAGAAATGGAAGGGAAAGCTTGCGGCCAAAGGGAGAGGAATGGATGATTTTGAAGAGTGTTGTGTTGTGAGTGAAAATGAGGAATGCCTTGAATGATGAGAATGCAAGGTATTTATAGGAGTAGTGGAGGGAACATATGGCTGCAATGCATGTGATAAAAGACTAGGAAAGTGGGTGGAAAGCTGAAATTTTCACAAGGGGGCCAAAGGGATCCCACGGCAAAGGAAAGAATTTGATGCATGTGGGCTGATTTGTTTGTTGAAGAAACATGTGTTTGGGAAGCTTTCT